AACTGAAAACCAAAATAAGCAACATTTTCCATTTAAAACCCCTTTTTTCTGATAAATTATTGAATAAATAGACATGAGCTCAAGAACATATTTCTAGTTTCTAATCTTCAACCCTCAGTTTGGTCAAAAGGTTTTTCTATCCGTTCAGCTTTTCTCTGATTATTAATGGACATTCTTCAGAAATCTGGACAGTCTGCTGCAGAATATTATAAATAAGTTTATTCCTTTATTATTCTAGTATTCTGACTGCATTCTCATATTCTGACTATTCTTAAATCATTACAACCTTTTCTCAGATTATTATGACTTTATTCTGACAACATTATGACATTATTATCGTATTATGACTTTTTCTCTTTTCATGCAGATCCGTCTTCATTTCTGTAAATTCTCATTGAAACTTTGAAAATATCATTTTGCAGCTTTATTTAAAATGCAGGTTTCCATCACAGGATCACATTAAACATGTTTTTTTTCTGCGTCCTGATCGGATCGTTCGGTGTTGCCTCAGGTTCTGTGTTCTCCAGCTGATGTGTTAAATGCGGCCCGGCCGGGTTCTGGTCCGGCTCAGTGGCGGTGTAATGCCTCGCTGCTGCTGGATGAGTTCAGCAGGAAGCGGCTCAGCTTTGCCCTTGACGGCCTGCAGAGCGCGGAGCGTGGCGGAGCCGCTGAACGCTGTGAGTCTGCCGGGCCGGAGCAGAACCCGGCCTCATGACGCCTGGTTAAGGGAACTTTACCCGTTTTCTGTTTTCAGCCGACTTTTGCTCCTGATTGAGGATCAGAAACCAGGCTTCACATCATTTCAGATCCCTGATCCAAACCTTTAGGTTTACGTTATTCACCCGGGTTCCTGCCGTCTGTCAAGTCGTCCTCATCAATAGTTCAGGTTTTCTGAATGAATGCTTTTCAAAGCCTAATCGTTTTTACAGGAGTGTGTTTTGGTTTGTCGTCGTTGAATGTAGTGGTCAGAAAAACTGCTGCGTCCGGGACGCACAGAGCAGCGTTACAGCAGATCCTTCCTCCTGCTCCGCTCAAACTGGACATCATATTAGCCCAGTTTTATTTTGTAGTCTGTTGTTTTCTACTGCACATGAACATTTTGTACATTTTTAAAATGTATACTAGTCAGTTGAACATTCCTTTGATCGGATTACACTATATTAATAACCTCAAAGTACTTTTTGTTATTCTATTTTATTTAAAAACAAGTAATTATATCTCTCTAGACATTTATATTAACTTGAATTTTTATTTGATTTAATTGCAGAGTCTGTAAGTAATCAACGAAAAAATATGCACTGACAAAATAAGCAACATTTTTTATTCAAAACCTGTTTTATCCAGGAAATCCTCATCTTTCATGGAGCTTCTTTAAATGTGGACAGTGAACGCTGACATTAGCATTAGCTGCTACATGTTTAGCATTGAGATGCTGTTTTAGGCTAGCATAGTTCAGGCTAACTCCTTTTAGCACAACCTGAACACAACAATAGTCTTTTCAGCGTCCAATCAGATCGTTCAGAAGACACTGCGACGTTCACCGGCGTTGGCGAATTTTAGATTTACGGGCGTAGCAGAAACTTCGCTGCTGATGTTATTCTGCTTGAAGACACCAGAGCAGCAAATCGATAAAAAAGAGAAACATTCACGATGTGAATAAATACATTTCATTCTGTTTGAATGAAGAACATAAGAAAAGACTGAATGCTGGCTGAAGTTGTTAATAAAAAACACATTAAACTGCAGAGCTGCTGGAGTTCAACACTCATCCAGGATGCAGATTAAAGCAGGCATGTGTCTGAGCTCTAAAACTTTCAGGGACTGAAGTTTTAAAGCTGCAGTCTGGCACAGATGTGATGGATTTCCAGCCTGGAGGTCAGCTGAAGTTTACCGAGTGACCTCTGTGTGCAGCGGCCAGCCAGAGGCTGCGGCGGGCGCATCAATCAAACGCACCTCACCTCGGCTCAATCCTGCAGCTGGCTGAGCTTCAGCTGCCTGCAGGAGAGGAACGGATGTTTTAAGTAGATATGAGACGGAGCAGGACAGCCTAGGTAATGTGTAATTACCCAGAGTGCCTTTCTCTCACTTTCTGCTCCAAGTTGTTCTGGGATTTATGGCCGCCGTCGCTTCTTCCTGTATGGATCTCTTACATCACCGAGGCTGTGGGTTCATGTTGCTGCTCCTCGGTCTTTCTGATGCTGGCTGGTTAGGAACAGTTTTATTTCAGGGTGTCGGAGTAAAGCGGTTGATACGTGATAATTTGAAATAGATAATACGTCTGATAAAATATTCAAAATAGAATATTCACTGAACTCTGATCCAGAACAGCAAAGCATTCTGGGAGATGTAGGCAAAGGCAAAGGCTTTAGTTGCTCAATCTTTAGTTGCTTTAGTTGCTAAGCTGCGTTTGGGACAGGCTCAGCAGGAACGGAACTCACTCGTTGGTTGCCTAGCAACTCTCCCATTCTCTGGTTGCCTAGCAACAACCTGTTGAGTAACTGGCGCAGCAGCAGTTTAATGTTTCGCTGCTGTGCCTCAAAACTGGTTAAAAATGAAAACCAACGGTGTGGAGGGAAAACTGAATAAAACAGGAAATGTTTGGAAGTTTCTCAGATGTTTAAAACAAAAAACTAATCAATAATCAATAAATGATATGAAACGCTTATATCATGGGTTTCAGTCATCGTTCAGCTCTAGCAGCTCATTTTTCTCAAAACTTGCTGTAAACTTTGAATCATGTTTTTTTCCTTCTACTTCACAATGAAGCGCTGCTTTGTGTCGGTTTATCCTAAAATCCTGTAAACTCCAATAATGTTTGAGTTTGTAATGTGGCTGAATGTTAAATTAGCGGTTCAGGATTTTTCTGGAAGAACTGATTTAGGAAAAGTTAACTGCGATAAACGTTTCCAACGTTTCAAAGTCAATAACTAGGATGTGGCTTCAAAACGGGAAGCTAATCGTTTTTAAAGTTAAGCTAAAAATTAGATCCACTATTATCAGATTAGTGGAATATTTCACTTTTCCACATGATTCAGATTTCTTAGCTGTATTTTGTGTTTTAGAAAATCTGCTCTGTTTCTCTTTGCTGCTGTATTTTTAGTGTCGCCCAAATGACTTAAACTCCTTAGACAGAATTATCAGCAGCTGAAACCGAACGGAGCTTATGATCTGTGACCAGGTAAAGCCGAAGGTTTGTGTCCAGATCTGATGGTCCAGAACCTCCAGAACCTCCAGAACCGGGTCCATTCAGCTACACAAACACGCTGCTCTCCAACACACTCCTGCTGAGCCTGTCCCAAACGCAGCACACTGATGAACACCCACAGTGACTTACACAGCACACCCACACACACACTGCTGCGGCTGCTATGACTCAGCCGTGTGTGTGTGTGTGTGTGTGTGTGTGTGTGTGTGTGTGTGTGTGTGTGTGTGTGCTGGCAGTGCCCACGTCGGCCTCCCTGCCAGCTTCACGGATGTCTTAGATTAACACAGAAGAGCCTCTCTGACGATGAGACAAGCAGAGTAAAGATGGCCGCCACGCAGATTCCTCCTCCTCCTCCTCCTTCAGCTCCTCAGTGACTCATCAATAAACTGATTGATCTTCTATCAGTCCGCCTGTTTCTGCCAGTAGAGATCTTTAGGCTTGAACAGAGCGCCTGGTTCTGAAGGACTTCTGAAGGTTCTGATCCAATAAGTGATGCTGACGGATCAGAACCGGGCCGGTGCTCATGTGGCTTACTGTAGTTTAGTTCTGGTTTACTTTAGATTAATCCATTTGCATATTTTATTTGATTGATGATCCACTTCTAATCCAGCATTTTCCTCTGCAAGGAGTCATGCTGCTCCAATAAAACCAAATGTAATATTATAAACATGGTAATTTATAAAACCCTGGTTTTAAATTACTTTAAAAAAAGGTTTTAAAATAATTTAATGGTTTTAAATGTCAAACTCTGTGTTTTTTATATTTTTCTGGGTGACCTTCTTTCTTTCTTTTCCATATTTGTGGAAAGGTTTAATTTAGCTGAACTCGCATTTTCTTTCCTTTCATTTTGTTCAAACGATCAGCAGGAATAATTCTGGTCATTTGGCCTCCAATGGTGGTTCATATATTTTTACCACGTTGTTCATCCGTTAATAAATGTCACAGATCCAAACTAAATATTTAGTTAATCTATTGAAAACCAAAGCTCTTTATTTAAATTGCTAAACAAACATTTAACTTGCTTTTTAATTATTTAGTTTAAAGATGCTGCTAACTAAACATTAGGCTTATTAACTAAATAGTTAGTTTGAAACTGACATTTATAGATGAATTTGTTGAAAGTATAACTTTGAAAAATGAACCTCCGTTTCTTTCTCTTGAATAAACCAAACTATTAGATCATTTTTGAGTTGTAACTTTCCAATCGTGGCTCCATGTCAGAGTTGGATGATTCACTTTGTTCTGAAAATAGAAACAAACTTCAGTTTAATTTTATTTTGTTGGGAAAATGGCTCTTGGTTGGTGGCCCCTCATGTGGACCGTCTGTTCTGACCCGGTCTGGATGAACTGGGCAGACTGGTGAACAGTTCGGTCCATTTTACAGCCATTTGGTGATTTGGTTTCATGAGTTCTGGTCCAGACTGGGTCCAGTGAGTCCCGGCTGACCCATTCTGTGACCTAACAGCAGCTCTGTCTCTGTCTCTCAGCGTGGAGGGCGACCCTCAGTGTCCGGAGGTCCTCACCTTCTCAGACTCGTCGTTTGGGCATCCTCCTCCCTTCCATCGCTATAGCAACAGCCCCCTCTCCAGCCCCTGCGACCCCTACGGCCCCGCCTCCGGCACCGGGCCCCTGGGAGCCTCTCACTCGCAGACACAGGTACCGACCCACAAAGTTCAGGTTCTCCCGTTAAGTAATTAGCCTCGTTAAGTTTGGGTTCAAAAGTATTCATACCCATCCACATTTTGTCACAAGCTAAAAATACGAAGCTGAGTGAATTTGATGCGATTGTCCAACACCAGGTTGTATTTAGCTCCATCTTCCCATCAGTTCTGACCTGCTTCCCACAGCATGATGCTGCCACCACCATTTTGTAAGTGCATATGGTGTGTTCACAGTGATATGTAGTTTCTTTACACCCCACACTGATTGTGTCTGTAGTTAGAAACCAGGCTGCCGTTCTTCTCTCCAGTCTTACATCTTTCTTTCACATGTTAGTAAATTACCTGAAGACATTAAGAAAGCACCATTAGTGAACAAACTCCTGTTAATTTGCTAAACTAATTTTCCCCCAGTAACTTAATTTCAAACTAAAATTAAAACACAGACAGTAGAGATCAAAATATAAACATTATTACAATATCTAAGGAGATTATAGAGAATGTAAATGACGTCATATTGAAGTTATCACTTTAGCACCTGGTGTTGGAGTCAAACATTAGCATTAGTGAAACCAATGTTTATGATTAGATCAGGTTTATGAGTAGATCAGGTTTATGAGTAGATCAGGTCCTTGACTCATCTTCACTTTCTACCTTCATCGCATGATTAGATGCTTATAAATTACTGTCTGCACCTGAAGCCACAGTTTAGTAAGAAGGGTCTTAATGAGAGAATATTAAAGAGAAAGTCAACAACTTAAATACATTTGTAAAACAAAACACTGTAAGGACAGGGTATTGCCAAGTAAAAAACATTGTTAAAGGATCAGATGATCCAAATAAAGCTGGTTGTTAGTGCAGACAGGCAGCGGTTTCTGCAGCTCTTCTCTCCGTCTGTCTCCAGGGCAGCTCCCCCATTTCTCCCCCCAGCCCTGCAAGCCTCGCCTGGGCTCAGCGCAGCAGACATCAGCCGGCCAGCCTGGCGCTCCGCAAGCAAGAGGAGGAGGAGAGCAAACGCTGCAAGGCGCTATCTGACAGCTATGAGCTCTCTACAGACCTCCAGGACAAGAAGGTACCGCTCCGCCATCGGGCGCCTGTGATTCCCTGAGAATGGAGAACGTTTTGCTCCATCTTTCCTGATTGGTCCATCTGGTAGGTGGAGATGTTGGAGAGGAAGTACGGGGGCCAGTTTGTGTCCCGGCGGGCGGCCAGGACGATCCAGGCGGCGTTCAGGCGGTACCGCATGAACAAGAAGTTTGAGAGGCTCCGCAGCTCGGCGTCGGAGAGCAGGATGACCCGGCGCATCATCCTGTCCAACATGAGGCTGCAGGTAGGAGCGCGTTCAGACTGGACCAGCCAAGACTTGATCTGGTTCTGATCTGGTTGGTGACGACTGTTTCCTCTGAGCGCAGTATTCGTTTGATGAGCGGCAGCCACAGGGTCAGGGGTCGCCGGGCCAGCAGGGTTCAGAGGACGCAGGAGACGTAGACGACTCTTTCTCCAAACAGGCAACCACATTCTCGTTTTCTACTTCCACCTGTGCTCCACTGGTGTCATATAGTGTAATATTTAACATTTACAAGTTCAAATACAACCAGGTGTCATCTGCAAAAAGAAGGACCTTCAGATTCAGTTTCTACTAAAGTGCAGAAAACCTTTTGAACATGTTTTTATGGAGCCTCTCTGAGCCTCTTAGACCGTCCAGCTGCATGTGGGGTTGAGATAAATTTTGGTTTTCATCCAGAGTTTTTTGTTTGGACCGGTTTGGACCAGCAGCTGTTCTATTGGAGCCATGTTCCTGAACTTTGAAGGTCAAAGCACTTCAGCCTTACAGAAATGGCATTTTGAAGAGTGGCCAAAAAATATGGACCTCTATGTTGTCTTTTATAAATGATTGATAATTGCTTAGGGTGATTACTAATAGAGCTAGTAATTTAATTACCTGCATTTCGTGAACTTCTGACAGCAAAGAACTACTGCAGTCTTGAAGGAAGAAACGCACTGACTAGTTTTTCACTCCTAGACTGGATGTTTCTAATTTCGGCAATAATCCGGAGATGAAAGGAAATCCTGGAAACCTGTTTAATATGGGATTAAGGCTGCAGTCACACCAAACCCTGTTTAGTCTGACTTTAATCCAACTCCAGGCCGTCTGCCGAAAAACAACGGTCCTGTTGGTGAGGTGTGAATGCTAATTGACCTCTGACCTCAGTGTCTTCAGAGGTTTTTATGTTTCCTTCAGTGGTTCTTGGTACAGCGCCCCCACAGGCCAGGAGGGGAACAGGTTGGTTTGACTCAGAACCACAGCAGCTGGAGGTGGAGCAGATGTTCTGGTTCCAGTAGAACCGGGTTGACCGGACCATTAGGAGGGAAACAGACTAAAATTACAAATGCTGGTCAAAAATAACAGAGAAGTTGAGTCCTTTCAACACATCTTGATTTGGGCATTAATTCTTGTTTGGTAGGAGTCAAATCTCGACTCGTCAATATTTTCCCTCCAAATCTGTCAGATTGTGTTGTTTTATCCACAGAAACACATCAGCCTGGGGAAAATCCACCATATGTGGTTATTTTTAGAGTATTTGTCAAACCAACTCTAACTAATCTGAAGCTTTGTTGAAATAAGCTGCTAGAAACATGTTCAGCTGGTGTTTATTCTTTAATTTAAAGGGGACCTATTATGCTAATTTAACATTTTACATGTCTTTGTACTTTCATTTTGGTCTCAACTGTTTCTAAAAACAACCTAAACCCTTAAAAAAACACCCAGATGGTTATTGGCGATAAGTGAGCTGTTTCAAAAACCTCCCAACTGTTAAGTCACATTCAACAGACACTGCGCCGTTACCTAGCAACGTGAGCGGAGCACCGGGACGTTTGGTTTTACCGCTGTCTCTGCTGTACAATGGCTGCTAGAAAAGACAAGTGTTTTGTTGAAGACTTATCATCCAGAAACCACTTACTGCATTTTTGTTGATTGTGCAGGAAGCTCGACTTCTGCTTTTCAAAGAGTTTTGGTAGTGTAATTTTGCATCTGTTTGCAGCCACATTGAACTGGGGGGGAGGGGGGCAGCAGCAGCTTATCTGGATCTAAAGTGACAGAAGCTCTAAAACGGCTCATTCTGAACGGCAGAACTGACCAGACTGAAATCTCTTTATGAATAATTTTGTACAAAAACTGTAATGAACATGTTTTCTTTAGCCCATAGTCCTATCCTAACCTGTTCAAGGTCACTTTAATAAATTTATCTGATCAGATGTTCTGCTGATCGTCTTAAATCACATCTGGATGGATTCTAGTCGTCTAAACGTTTTTCTTCATCCTTCGCAGGTCAAATCTCTGGCCGACTCCATGGACGACTCGCTCACCTGCCAGTCCGGCCGCGAAGACTCGCAAGATGTCGGCGGAGAAGGAGAGGAGGACGAGGACGAGGAGGAGGGAGACGAGGATGAGGAAGAGGAGGAGGAAGAAGACGAGGAAGAGGATGAGGAGGTTGAATACAGGCAGTGCGGATGGCGCAACACGAACACGGCATCGCGGCGCGCGCCCGGTCGGGCGGAGGGAGGCCGGGGCGGCGTGGCCATGCACGAGGACAGCACCGCCACCTCCTTCAGCGACGTCACGCTCTACATGGACGACGGCTGCCTCCCGTCCTCACCGCTGTCCCGTCCCGCCTCCAGCTCCGACACGGACTACTGGGGCGGGGGCGGAGGCGCAGGGGGCAGGGAGGACAGCAGGGAGACGGAGGGCGGCAGCAGCGCCAGCCGGAGGAGCAGCACCCCCTGCACAGAGTGCCGAGGAGAGTACCGAGGAAGAGGAGGAGCAGGAGCAGGAGGAGGAGGAGGACACCTTCCTGTCCTCACCATCGAACCGCCCAGCGACAGTTCAGTGGACATGAGCGACAGGTCAGCACTCAGACACGTCACTAGAGATAAAGCTGTAAAAAAAGCATTAACCTCACAGATTATAAATGTCAACAAGAAACAACCAGAAACTTTCAAATTTAGATTTAATTCATTAGGAGAAAAAACATCCAAATGGACCTGATGGAAACCAATCACCCTTTAAACCCAGTTATAGCTAGCTAGCATTAGCTCCCGCTAAATAAATTGCTGTTGTAGTACTTTAGAGCTTCCACTACATACCGTGTTGGTGTATGATTTAGCTCTAGCTAAAGTACCGTTTATGTTTAGCTCAGGTTCGCTGTGCCCACATGGGCCGTCAGCCCTGAGGGGAAGACCAGATCCAACATGCAGCTGAAATCACTTGGCCTGCCGATTACTGCATGCAGACAGCAAAAACAACTCACGAAGCTGAACCGTCCCTTTAATGGGAACTTGTGCTAACTGTTGGCTGCTAAGCTAGTCTGTTGTAGATCTGCTGAGTCTACCGGGAGATGTTCTGCTCCTGAACCAACAGCTCTTCTGTTGATCACGTTCATATACCGGTTTAGGAGACGTGAAGTCCTCAGGGTTCACACATCTTCAGGATAGATGTGTCTGCAGCAGCATACACATGTAGCGTCTCATTCAAATGACTGCATTACCTGCTACAACTGCAGCAGAAGCCTGTTAATGATTCATCTATGTCAGGTAGTCCCTGAGGACCACCCCTTGATGGAGGAAGTGGATCCATAAAGCTTCCTGCTCTGAGTAGCTCTTCATCCCTTTATTGGCAGGTTTGGACAGGATCTATGAAATGTGATTTATATTCCAGTTGATTTGTGTCTTCAGATCGGAGCGTGGGTCTATCGGACGTTTGGTGTACGAACAGGAGTCCTCCGGAGGGGAGCGAGGAGGAGAGAGGGGCAGGGGAGGAGGTGAAGGTGAAAGTGGAGAGGATGAGCTTGGAGCAGGAAGCAGCGAAGCCGAATCTCCACAAGGAACCATCAAACACAAGCCGAACGGCCGCTCGGTCGCCATGGCGCAAGGACAGACGCGCAGCCCCTCTAACGTCCCCCTGCCGATGCCGTCGGCCCGGACGCTGCCACCCCACCCGCTCCAACACCCCCACCCTCCCCACCCATCAGCCATTCCCCACCTTCCCACCATCCTCCACCACCACCCGCAGTACAGCCAGCACGTCATGCACATGCACCACGCCCACGCCGGCGGCCCCTACATGCAGCATCCGCACCACTTCGCCCAGCACCACTACCACCATCTGCACCACCAGCACCACCACCTCCCACACTCGTACCCAGAGCCCCCTGCGTCTCCGCTGCCCTCCCCGGTTCCACCTCTAACACCTTTGTCCCCGCTGCCGCCGCCTCTCACGCCCTCGCCGATGTCGTCCTCCTCTTCCTCAGTGCTGCAGAACCTGGAGGGGCAGCAGCACCTTGCCCACCACCCACACCTCCACCACCACCACCACCACCTGCTCTGCTCAGACGGAGACAACGAGAGCGTCAACTCCACCACCACCAACTCCAACGACGACACCACCGTCAACAACTGCAGCTCCGGCTCGTCGTCCAGGGATAGCCTGCGGGAGCCGATGGGCGGAGCCACGCTGGGGAAGCAGACCTACCAGAGGGAGAGCCGCCACAGCTGGGACTCCCCCGCCTTCAACAACGACGTGGTGCAGCGGCGGCAGTACCGCATCGGCCTCAACCTCTTCAACAAGTAGGTCCAAGATCAGAACATCTGATTTATATGGCGCAGCATTAGTGCCAAAAATAAGGCTATTACACACCCAATGGTGGCTACTTACTTGTTGCCGGAGGCTAAATTCATACCGATCTGATCCGATTGGCTACTGATCTGATAGATGATTGGCCGGCAGTGATCGGCTGGGGACCCCATCAATTCCCTACTCCTTCTACATTAGCATAGATATGCTGGCTTTAGCCTAGTATAGGCTAACAACTAGCCTGCTAGGTGGTCACCCACTGGATTACCTGCTTTGTCCGCTAACTTTTAGCACAAATAGGTTGGTGTTAGCATCAGCATGTCACTTACAGATAGTGTATGTCAACCATTTTTCTCTGCATAAAGTTTTCTTTAAAGAAAATAGTTATTATGCATATGCTAGTTGTTAGCCTCTCGACGGCCAACATCCAGCTTATGCATAATAACAAACACCAGAGGAAGAAGGCAGCCCAGTGGCTGCTAGTCACCAGCCTGTCCAAAGCCAGCACAGCTCCGAGGCTCTTTCTGAGCTTCCAGTGCCAGCCTGTCATTAATGAGGTCAGCAGCTGGCTTGGAAAGGGATGTTTTGGCATTTGGTAAAATGTTTTGATATATCCAAAAAAATCTTAACAGGTGATCAGATCGTGGATGCATGGTAAGGTGATGCTGGACTGTTTCGTTCCCATGGCATCATGACCCCCTACACCACATGTGTCAAACTCAAGGCCCGCGGGTCACATGTGGCC